AAGATTAAATCCACCTATGCAGGAAGTAGTTAAAAAAGAGATCATCAAGTGGTTGGATGTTGGAGTTATCTATCCCAATTCAGATAGTAGTTGGGTATGCCCTGTTCAATGTGTGCCCAAGAAAGGTGGGATTACTGTGGTGCCTAATGAGAGAAACAAGCTTGTTCCGATGCGGCCCGTGACTGGATGGAGAGTCTGCATGGACTACCGAAAGCTAAATGCTTGGACAAAAAAGGACCATTTCCCTATGCCATTCATGGATCAGATATTGGATAGACTTGTTGGTATTATTTTCTTGATGGTTGTTCGGGCTACAATCAGATTTCTATAGCTTCGAAGGACTAAGAGAAGACCACCTTCACTTGCCCTTATGTGACTTTCGCTTTCAAACGAATGCCCTTAGTGTTGTGCAATGCTCCAGCGACCTTCCAGCGTTGTATGATGTCAATATTCTCTGATATGGTGGAGGACACTATTGAGGTATTTATGGATGATTTCTCTGTGGTAGGTGACTCTTTTGATCGATGTCTGAATCATTTGGCTGAGGTACTGAAAAAGTGTGAAGATTGTAATCTGGTGCTGAATTGGGAGAAGTGCCACTTTAAGGTGAAAGAGGGATAGTTCTGGGTCATCGGATTTCTGAGAAGGGCATTGAGGTTGATAGAGCAAATGTAGAAGTAATTGAAAAGCTTCCACCACCTATCTCTGTAAAAGGAGTTCGAAGTTTTCTTGGGCTTGTAGGTTTCTATAGGAGGTTCATCAAAGATTTCTCTAAAATTGCAAATCCATTGTGCAAACTACTCGAAAAGGAGTATAAGTTTGATTTTGATGATGCTTGTCTGAGAGCATTTGGAGAGTTGAAGGAAAATTTTGTTACTGCACCTATCATTATTTCACCGGATTAGGGACAACCGTTTGAGGTAATGTGTGATGCGAGTGGAGTGGCACTAGGTGTAGTATTAGGACAGAGGCGAGAGAAAATTCTCCCTCCTATTTACTATTCTAGCAAAGCTCTAAATGTGGCCCATAAGAATTATACTATGACTGAACAAGAGCTTTTTGCAGTGGTTTTCACATTTGAAAATTTTCGATCCTACCTGCTTGGTACTAAGGTCATAGTGCGTATTGACCATTCGGTATTGAGGTATTTGATGGCGAAGAAGGATGCAAAAATGAGGCTGATTAGATAGGTATTGTTGCTGCAAGAGTTTAATTTTGTGGTAAAGGATAGAAAGGGAACCGAAAATCAAGTTGCCGATCATTTGTCCAGATTGGAGGAAGAGGCTATGTAAAGCTTGGTGATGGGGCTGAAATTAATGATGCTTTTCCAGATGAACATGTATTGGCTGCTTCTCATGATCGGATTCCTTGGTTAGCAGAATTTGCTAATTATTTGGCAAGCGATATTGTGCCCCCAGATTTGTCTTTTCACCAAAGGAAAAAGTTTATGGATGATGTGAAGAAATTCTTTTGGGATAAGCCTTACTTATATCGTAGTTGTGCTGATGGGATTATTCGTCGCTGTGTGCCCGAGGTTGAGATGTTGAGTGTACTTGAAGCATGTCATTCATCGCCTGTTGGTGGGCATCATAGTGGTATTCGAACTGCACATAAGATTTTGTAGTGTGGGTACTACTAGCCTACTATCCACCAAGATGCTCATGATTTCGCCAAGTCTTGTGCTCGTTGCCAAAGAGAAGGAGGGATTTCAAAGAGGCAAGAGCTTCATATGAATCCTATATTGGTGATAGAGTTGTTCGATGTATGGGGCATTGATTTTATGGGTCCATTTGTGAGTTCACATGGGATGAAGTATATTCTTGTTGCGGTTGATTATGTATTGAAGTGGGTGGAAGCAGTTGCGCTCCCCAACAATGAAGGTAAAAGTGTCACCGCATTCTTGAAAAAGAATATCCTCTCCAGCTATGGTACACCGAGGGCGATTATCAGCGATGGAGGTTCCCACTTTTGTAATAAGTTGTTCAAGGCGCTACTTGAGAAATATGGTGTCTGCCACAATGTAGCCACTCCTTACCATCCGCAGACTAGTGGGCAAGTTGAAGTGTCCAACACAGAGATCAAATAGATTTTGGCGAAGACTGTGAATGCTAATAGAACGGATTGGTCAAGGAAGCTTGATGATGCTCTGTGGGCCTATCCCACTGCATACAAGACTCCCATAGGTATGTCTCCTTACCAACTAGTATATGGGAAATCTTGTCATTTACCGGTGGAGCTAGAGCATAAGGCTTTGTGGGCGATGAAGAAGCTACATTTGGATTCACTACACCATTTTAGGCATAAGGCCACACTAAATCTGGACAACGCTTGTAAAGTGTTGCCTAAAACATTTTTAGCAACGCTTTTAAAGCATAGCCTTAGTTTTGGCCTTTTGACTAAGATAATATTGTCAACACTTATAAAGCGTACTGTTTAACGGTATAGGCTACACTTTATAAGTGTTGCCAAATCATTACATAATTAGCAACACTTATTTACACATATGATTACACATTTGAAGTGTGCTATTTTTATAACTCTAAAAGCAACACTTGATAAGTATGGCATTATAATTATCTTAAAAGTTTCACCAAAATATTGTATTACCTCCCATATATTCAACTCTCCCTCCAATTTCTAATTGGCCAGAAAAAAAAACACTCTATACAAATGTAAAAACGTTTTTCCCCAAACCAAAATTTGTGCTGCTATTTGCCTAAAGCACTACTCAAAAATTAAGCCATATACCCTAGTTTCTCTCTATCTTAATTTCACCCAAAAATACTCCAGTTTCCTTATCAATGGCATGTGGCGATTTCCCTAATCCTTCTTCACCTTTGTCCTAGAGACGAGAGAAACAATTCAAAGGATTTCAAATTTAGAGGAATCGGAGAATCTACGAGAAGTGGCGATGAAGATAGATTCAGTCACACGGTGAATATGTCAGCCTTCTTCTCGTCTGGGCTTGTCAAGGTAACAGACTGTGTTAGAGTTATTTGTTTCCTCAACGCCAAATGTTTCGTACAAAAAATAAAGGTTTACTTTGTGGGTGGGGGTTCTAGATCAAGAGTTATGTGGCTGTATTGAAAGTTGAGTTTATGATGTCAGTTGTTGTTTCGGTCCCTTCTTTTAACAGTACCTCTACCCTGGTTTATTTGGACCCCTGTCTTTTGAGATATATGTAAATCATTTCAAGCTTGTGGATGCTTTCATGGACATGGAATTGTTGAGCTGTTACATTAATCCTAGATTGCTGATAACACACTTGGTTTTTGCCACTTTGAATTTTCTCTGAACAAAAGAAACAGAAGATCAGAAATTTGCTGTGAGGCTTCTAGATTTGTGTTCAAATTACAATTTCCCCTGTTAAAATAGGCTTTTCCCACATCAAGATGTGCACATTACTTGTTTAATTTTCCGAACATGGGACACAAGTCTACAGGTTCAGTTATGCCCTAATTATTTTTGTACTTTTGTACCTTGTGGTCAATGGAGCATGAAAAAAATCTTAAGAATGAATTGATTGGCATGTTTTTCTTTGAATTTATTTGATATGTGATTTATCTAATGGCGTACTGATGAAAGTGCCTTCTCTTGGTTGGGCAAAATCCTTTCAGGGAACATATTTGCATCATAAGAAAATCAAGGCTGCCCAGGGTATCAAGATAACCTCCCAGGTATTATTCACTACTTGTAAATCTGTGAGCTCATTTTTGGTCAGTCTTAGGATCAAGCTTAGGAAGTCTATTGGGTAGGAAATTTAATGCAGAGAGTCAGAAGTGCATTTTATTTTGACTGATCTGTTGTTAGAAAATGTATGTATTTTGAATCTTAGATTAGTTTGTTGTTAAAATCAGATGATTTTATGTTTGGGTTCCTGATTTCCTTTTAATTAAAAATAAAATTAACATTAGTTTATCTAGGATCAATCAAGCAGAGTAGAGTGTCATCTACTGGATATAAATTTTGAGTCCTGATTACTGTTGGAAGTCAAATAACTTTTCGTAAACATTTAGAGGAAGCTTCGTAATTGCACAAAAAATAATAAGTGGAGGAGCTATCTCTTTTCACGTACATCTCTTTCCTTTTTCTATTTTTTCTTGTCAGGAAACCAACCAATGCACTTGATGTCTCATGTTCAACAAATATGGTGAAATTTGTGCAAGAGCATTGGAAGGTTATTCTAATTTGGGAACATATAGTCTCTTCTTTTCTTTTTGTTCTATTCATGATGTCCCTGAGCATATCAATTCTGTTCAGAATTTCTGATTTCCTAAGTCGGATATTTTGTGGTACCTTTGAGAAAAAAATTGTTGGAATAGCTGTACAAATACCATCCTCTTTTGACTTGGAATAGTTGTAAGAAATCCAATGGTTGTTCTTGTGTAGTTTGTTACTTCAGTGAAATTTGACTTGGAAGTTCAACTAGCGAGCCATAACCTTTCAGTCCATTGCATGGGTGTATTGGCATTTTCTTCTACTGATGTGTGATGCTTTCACTATTTACTATATGCCTATTGATTTAGTGGTGGTTTTCCATGAATAAGTGAGACTGAGAGCTTTCTCCTTCCCCCCCCTTGGTTCTTTCTATTTTTGTTCAGGGCTTTGAGCATGCGATTGCTGGCACTAGTCTATATGTTGTGGGGCCTGATGATGATGTGGAAGACATGAAAGAAGCAGTTATGGAAGATATGAAGTCAGTGATGAGCAGGATAGACAAAAGTATGGAAGATATGAAGTCAGTGATGAGCAGGATCGACAAAACTGGAGAGGGAGTATATGTTCAAGCAACTACACTTGGATCATTAGAAGCTTTGCTGGAATTTTTGAAGACCCCAGGAGTAAGCATACCTGTCAGTGGGATTGGCATAGGTCCCGTGCATAAAAAGAATGTCATAAAAGCTAGTGTTATGCTTGAGAAGAAGAAAGAGTATGCAACCATCTTGGCCTTTGATGTTAAAGTGACACAGGGAGCTCGGGAACTTTCAGATGAACTCGGTGTCAAAGTTTTTATGGCTAATATTATATATCACTTATTTGATCAGTTTAAAGCTTACATTGACACTATCAAGGAAGAAAAAAGGAAGGAAGTTGCTTAAGAAGCAGTCCTCCCCTGTGTGCTCAAGATCGTACCAAATTGTGTCTTCAAGAAGAAGGATCCAATTGTTCTGGGAGTTGATGTTCTTAAGGGCATTTTCAGGGTATTAACTTTTCTTGTCTACTGTCTCATATTCATTGATCTCATCCACTAGCTTAATTATAAAAAAAGGAAAAATTAAAGATAATGGAATCTCTGCATTTCATTCGAGATAACTAGATTTTGTGCACATCAGCAATACAAATAAGAATAGATAATCAATATTTAATGGGTTGTGCTGATATTATCAGATTTTCTCTAATTGCATGCTTCCATTAAGTTAGGGAAAGGGTTCTTGATTACTCACATTGATTTCTCGTTAAATGTGCAACTTCTTTATGTATAACCTTGTTTGAGACAGCTCGTCTAACATAAACAACCTTATGGACACTAATTTTTTTTTTTGGTTGATAAGGTAAGTTGTTATCAAGAAGATGCCATGGATACAAAATTAGATGTGCTAGCTCCTATACACGATGCTATGAAAGGGTCGGGGAGCTAGCCAAACACCAAAAAGGGAATAACCATGTTAAGGGCCAGTCTAATGTAAGGGTGCTCACAAAATCTGGAAAAACAACTTTAGCAAGTGGTTTAGAGTTAACACTACATCAAAACATTTTGTTGTTTCAGCTTTCTAAAGGCTCCAGCTCTCAACAACATCCATTTGAGGTTGTCTTTTTAAGCTTTTACATTGGTGATATATAAACATATATGGTTGTGTTTTTATTTGAGCAGAAAGATTGAGGAGCTTGAATTGAAGAAGAAGCAACAAGAAACCAAAGCTATTGAAACTTCAAGGAAAGCTATTCCATCAATGGTATTTATTTCCAAAAGACAAAAGTTTGTCATTTGAGTGGTTTCAAAATTAATACTTAACCCGTTTAGTAATTATACTTCATGTTCTGTTTCTGTGGCAGGAAAAGTGCAAGAAACAATTAATGATAACCAATTCAGATTTCATGGAAAAAATGGAGGTATTCTAATTAATCAACCTATATGTATGTTATTGCCTTGCATGTGGAATTAGATGCAACTCACACTTCCATAGTTTATATTATGTTGTAACTCACATTTGAGATACCGAACTCAATCATTTCTGATGTCTGTAATCTACTTCATCAAAAATGCACTATTCCCCTCTATGGTTCTCTGAGTTGTTATTTATGGTTAGTGTGAAATGGAAAGGGAGAGGTGGGGCTTAATTATGTTTGATTAGTGAGGAAGTAGAGAGATTCATGGTACTGTAGGATATGCATGTTACTGTAGGAGTCGTGACATTTTTAGTACTAGTAATTTCTGTTGACTGTTAAATGTTAATTGGGTGATGAATACAGGATAAGTTTCTGAACCTAGTGTCTAAACTGGAAGAAAAAGATAAGGCGATCACATCATTTATGTTGTCGGCTGAATAATTTGTTGAAGTTAAGAGAAAGGAAGTGGAACAAGGAAGTGAGTAATAGGGAGTCCAAGCAGTAGATGTAGCAATGGAGAGTTCAAATGATCAGAGAAAGGAGCTAACAACAATTAACCCCAGAAAAGCAAAAAATACTCCCCCAGCAGCTGAGGGAAAAGCTGCCAAGATACAAAGGCTTAAGAGTGGCTTCAGAGTGTGAAAACCCCAGGGTAGTTTCCTTTGGCTAAACATGGTCCGCAAGAGTAGTGGTTGAACATGTCCCCTCAGGTTCTGGTCCAGGTTGAAGATCTTTATATGGTCCAAACACCACCCTCAGTCTCTTCTTCTACTGCCATAGCTCCTCCTTCATTGCTGCTTTACACTAATAATTTTCATAACAACAACCTAGCATCCCCTGTCAAGCCTGTCCCTGAAAGACGAACATTCACTGCTACTGTCTCCACCATATCTAGTGAAACGTGCTATGAAGTTGGGGATAACAGGATGAACTACTCAACTGGAAACAAGACCACTACTCTCATCAAATTAAATGATGTCCCTCATAACGTTGGTGAAGGATTTCTCCAAGCCCCAATATCAAGACAAACTATAACCACAACAACTACCGTCACACCTCATGTGAGTATCATGTATCCTATCTCCAGATCTCTCTCAGTCTGCACTCAATCTAATTAACTATTTATGTTCTTGATAATTGAATGCCACTTTAATTCTCTGTGTATGTTACTGAAGGCATTCTCCTCTCCGGTGAAGGGAGTCAAGATGAGTAAAGCACAACAATCTTCAGGGGATGACAGGGCTAGCAAGGTTAGCATCAGCAGGAAGGAGTACGGTCATCAACAAGCAAGCAAATGTTGTTCTTCTTCTGCCACATCCTTGCCCCAGGGAGCTGCAAGTTGGTTAGTTCTGGCTACTCCAAGAAACACTTCCTCAGATGAGTCCATCATTTAGGGGAACTAAATAGAGTACTAGCAGTAGTAACTAAGACTATTAGGTCCTTGTTTGTAAGCATAATTTGAAGATGCTTTTTTTTTTGCCTCAATCGAATTGCTTTTCCAGTGGATGTTTGCTTACCTTCTAATGTTATCGATAGGAATCTATATCACACGATAAGTGTATGTTTAATTCTCAGTATATTCGTGTTCCCTATCCCACGTAATAGAAAAATTGGTCTGATGTTTTTTCTTTTCATAGTTGAATTATATGACTAATTTTATCATAAACTATGGTTGCTGCTGAGCCTATGGAAACTCATTTTAGTTGTACTCCTTGTGATAAAACTTATGGATTGAGAACATTTGCAGGATGCGTGGAACATATTGTAGATACCATAAGTAGGTAACCAATTTACTGTATATTAAGTCTGCTTGGTTGCTTGATCCGCCCTTTCCATTTTATCTTTAACTGAAACTTGATTTACTAGCGAAAGAAAATAATAAACTGATTGTGTTTCTGTAACTTGAACAACTTCCTTCCAACCCTCCTGACACCCTCATTCCAACCCTCCAATAACTTCAATAGCCTCATCCAAACAATTAACAAGGGGGTTCTGGGGTAGGGGAGTAGTAGAGTCAATACCTGTGATCCTTTTGCTTTGATTTTCAGAATTTTTTCTTTTTTTTCCTTGTCGGAATTGTTTGAGAATTGGTTGGCTGTGGAAGGTAAGTCAGTGGTTGAATTATTATTAATTTGTGTCTCCATTGTATCCTTATTTTTTGAATTCTGATTTTTAGCTCCTTCTTGATTGTTTGGTTGATCCTGCATAGAAAGATCAATGAAATTATTAGAAGTAGGGAGTGAAGAATTAGTAGCCATACCTGTGTGACGAGTCTGCTGCTGCTGCAATGTTTTCTTAGGAGATTTTGGTCTGTCCATGCTATGTTGAACTAGCCTGTAAGATTTCCTCTTCTGAGTCTGCCATTCTTCATCAGCTGGCTTGTTGTTATTTCCTTGTTTTTGGTGCTGCTGGTATTGTGAACTGTTGTTTCCATCCTCTCTATTTGTGCATTGCATTTGCATGTTTCTGGAATCTTGTTTGCCTTGTTCCCCTTTGTTTTTGTTCTTCCTAATAGCCTCCAACTCTTTTCTTTTTTTAAATTCGTCATCTCTTTGCTTAATAGTACTGACATGTAACCAGTGTCCTTGGTGTTTACAATACATGCAGTAATCCGGAATATGCTCATATTCAATAGTTTGCCACCTCCCTATGTTAAGATCTTCTTCATTCAACCCCATCCACACATGAGGAGGTCTCTCTTTGGTAAGATCGATTTGGACTTTGACCCTAGCAACACTTCCTTTAGTTTTTTTATATAGAAGCAGTGTCCAAGTACATAACTTTTCCAATAGGACTCAGAAGGGCTGACAAGATGTCCTTGTGATAAATGCCAAGGTAGCTCCGGTAGAGAAATCCAAATAGGGATTATAGGTGTTTCCTCCTCAGGCCTAAAAGTAGGAGTCCACTTTTGAATTGGTTGGCTTACAGTGAATACTCTCCAATTATGCACTTCCACATCGTTATTGTTATGAATTGGTTTAGCTTACTGTGAATTTAAGCATATTAAATACATGATTTATTTCAGTAATTTATAATTTTATTTTGAATGTGCAGGAAAATGCCGGTAATTGAATTGGAATTGTGGCCAGAAGTAAAACTCGATCTATTGTAGTGAACGATGAAGAGTTTTTGTAGTACTATTGTCATATATGTTTGAATGCATTTGGTTTTGTGTAGTTTATTGATAGTAGATATCTTTAAGCAATCACTTTTCTAAGTATTGGTTGTACAAGACATGTTTCTCGAAGTTTATTGGAAATATATAGCTTCAATTTAATTATTTGTTAATTTTGTACTTTAGGTCACTTGTATATTTAATTATGTGATTATTGAATATATGCAATAAAAATTATTATTCTTAAAAATTGAAAATTGTGGCTACAAAATTCTACACAACATTGCCACACTTCAAAAGTGTTGTTGTAGGACGTCTAATGTAATCTTGTACATAAGAAAAGTTACACTTATAAGTGTTGCTCTAGATGAGATATAAAAGGCAACACTTTTTAAGTGTGACCAATAACAAAGCAAAGGCAACGCTTTTAAGTGTAGTATAATTAAAAAAAGGTGTCGCTAATGTATCACTACAAAGCGTGCACTTATACCTCTTTGGCTACGCTTTATAAGTGTAGCTGTGATGGCGACATTTAAAAAGTGTTGCCTAATGTCAAAGGTTACGCTTCTTTAGGCCACCCCTTAAAAAGCGTTGCTTAAAGTCCAAAAGTGTAGCCTTTTATCAAAGGCCACACTTTTTGCTAGTTTAGGCTACACTTTACTGGGGTGGCCGTAGGCCTAAATTGGTGTAGTGATTGGGGCGCCACATCTAATCAAAGAATGAATGACTTGAATATGATTGATGAGTTTCACCTAAAAGCTTATGAAAGTTCAGCCTTGTATAAAGAGAAGATGAAGAGGTATCATGATCAAAGAATTGAAAAACGGGAATTTGTTATGGGTGATCTTGTGCTTCTATTCAACTCTAGGTTGCACTTGTTTCCAGGCAAACTCAAATCCAAATGGACCGGGCCATTTTTGCTCACAAAAGTGCTTCCCCATGGAGCGGTTGAGCTTGAGACAGTGACGGAACAAGGTTCATGGTTAACGGGCAAAGGATCAAGATCTATTTGGGAAACGCAGAAAGTGTGCAAGGGGTTGTAGAGGCCTATCATCTTGATGAAGTCTGAGTAATCAAGAGGCCTGCGTCGTGCTGCAATGTTAAATTAAGCACTGCTTGGGAGGCAACCCAAGATGTACAATCTATCCAACGATAGTTTTTTTTGTTTTCCATCTAGCAGTTTCTGTGTTTAGTTGATTCTCTATATTAATTTAGATAGATGGTTTAGTTTTTTATTAGTGTTGGCTAGAATTGGCATAGGGCCTTGTTGTATGTGTTTAGAAGTATAAATGTAAGTTTCGACTTAGGTTTCAAAAGTTTGTCTTAAACACTGGTTAAAATGATTAATCGGAATCCTGAGAATGACAAACTAGCATGATTAAATGTTGAAATGCCTGGTTAGACTAGGATATGTTGAAAATGGTATAAGATGTGGGCTTGAAAATAAAGAATGGCTGAAACATGACATAAGTCACATCCACGATACCCGTCTATAGACTGTAGATTAGGTTCGTTGGTGGATGCACTTGAAAATTTCAATAAGTGTGAAACCACAGATGTGGACTACGGTCTGTAGATCAATCTACGGACCATTCTGTACATCCGTGGTTTCCATCTGCAACCAATATTGTTGGTCCTCTAATCCACGGAAGGGTTCCATGGACTGTAGATCCCCTCCGTGGATGACCACTGTAGCCACTGTCTGAAATTTTTTTGGGCCTTTGTTACTGTTCGTTTTTAGTTCTAAATTTTTTTCGAGTGTGTTTATAGTTAGTTTTGGCACTAATATCGCTTCCTCAGGTACGATGGCACCCAAGAAACTAGTCACCTACTCAAAAAAGGGCAAGTCAAAATTTG